CTACTACATCAAATTTGGTCATATCATGAACTGGTTGGATATCCAAACTGGTGGGATCACAGTCGTGATCAAAGGAAGAAGAATTCCAAGAAAAACTCTACTACTACTATTGTGGAAAAGAAAGAAGATGTTGTTAGTGCTCATCATTTGTAGCAACTATTGGAAATGATGGTAAGTCTTTACATATGTGTACATCTGTTTCTAATAGTGCACAGATAATTGATTCTAGTGCTATCGATTACATGACATTTGATTCCATGCATATTTCACACTTTAAACCATCCTCACAGAAATTTGTGTCTACTACCAATGGTGAGTCCACCTACATCATTGGAGAAGGATCAGTAACCTTCCCAAATATTTTAAAAATAGATTCAGTTTTAGTTGTTCCCTCCCTAAATTACAACTTCTTGTCAATCTCACAAAAAACCAAAAACTTTATCTTGTGTGGTAATTTTTTGGCCTGACTTTTGTGTGCTTAAGAGCATTCAGAAAAAGCAAACGATTAGTTGTGGTATTAGACGAGGGAATCTGTATTACTTGAATTTAGAGAAAAAAAATTATGCCATAGTACAACAAGCTTTTACAGTTAGTGGCTGGGAAGAAGACAAGCAGAAATCCTCCATCTGGTTATGGCATCGACATTTTGGACATGCTTCATTTAGTTACTTGAAGAAATTGTTTCCAAGTTTGTTTAAGCAAAGTGATGTTAGTTGTTTCTGCTGTGATGTTTGTGAACTTTTCAAAGAGTCATTGAGTTTCTTATCTAATAAAATTGAATAAAAGTACAAATCCCTTTACGTTTATTCATTTTGATGTTTGGGGGCCCTCCCAAGTTAATACTTTAAGTAGATCATGGTAGTTTGTTACTTTCATTTATGACTATATAAGGATGACTTGGGTTTGTTTGATGAAATTTAAAGGGAAGGTCAATGTGGTATTTCAAAGATTTCACCAAATGGTTCTCACGTAGTATAATACTCAAGTTCAGGTTCTACGAAGTGACAATGGAAGAGAATATCAAAGTATGGACCTTTAACAGTACTTGACAGCACATGGTATTATTCATCAAACTACTTGCCCCAACACGCCCCAACAAAATGGTGTTGCTGAGTGCAAAAATTAACATTTATTGGAGGTTATTCTTGCTTCCTTAATAGAAGCTCTCATGCCCTTGTCTTTTTGGGGAGAAGCACTCACTTCTGCAGCCTACCTAATCAATCGAATACCTTCTAGTTCAATTGAGTTCCAGACCTCATTCTAAGCTCTTGGTAAAACAGTGAATGCTTCAATGGTCACGGACTTACCACTTCATGTTTTTTGTTGTGTTGCTTTTGTACACCTCCATAAACATCAACGCTACAAGTTGTCTCCTCGAGCATTGACATGTGTTTTCGTTGGGTATGGTGTTCATAAAAAAAGGTATCGCTATTGCCATCCTTCAACTCAACAACTATTTGTAACCATGGATGTTGTGTTCCATGAAGAGCCTATGTATTTTTCTTTTGAGTTTGAACTTCAAGGGGAGTATTTTTCAAAAGAAATTCAAACTCTTGCCCATGCTGTTCAAGATGTGGGATATTGTGAGTCAGAAACTAGACCCGTTGATCAACAAGAAGATGAAGTGGATGAAAATGTCGAGGTGGTATCTCTATCTGAAGAAACTTCATCTCAGTCTGAATCTCTCATTCTTGGTATATCACAACCGCCATTCACTACAAGTGTTCATGATTTAAAGTCTTAACCAATTAAGAAACAGTTACCACCATGGAGTACTAGAGGGATTCCTAAACCAACATACAAACCTGAGCCATCTAGTAAGGTCAAATATCACATGAGTCATTATGTGTTTAACCATCATTTGTCAGAATCAAATTTGTCATTTGTGAATCAATTATTAATTGTATCTATTCCTAACAGTGTGTAGGAAGCCTTATCTGATCCAAAATGGAAAGCTGCTATGAATGAAGAGATGAAATCATTATAGAAGAATGAGACTTGGGAACTTGTTGATTTTCCACTAGGAAAGAAAACTATTAGATGTCGATGGGTTTACACTGTGAAGTATAAAGCTGATGGTATGATTGAATGATTTAAAGTAAGACTATTAGCAAAAAGGTACACCCAAACTCATGGGATATACTATATAAAGACATTTGCACCTGTAACCCAAATCAACACAGTACATGTCTTTTTATATTTGGCTGCAAACCTGGATTGACTATTACAATAGTTTGATGTGAAAAATGTTTTCCTACATGGAGAATTGTTTGAAAAAATCTATATGGATCCTCCACCAGGGTATATTTTACCACGGAAACATAGCCAAAAGGTATGTAAGTTAAAGAAGTCACTGTATGGGTTAAAACAATCTTTGAGGGCATGGTTTAGGAGGTTCACCAAATCTATGAAGATTTTTGGCTACCATCAAGGCAATTCAAATCACGCATCATTCCTTAAAAAACAGCAAGGAAAGATCACAAAACTTATTGTATATGTGGATGATATGGTGGTTATAGGAAATGATCCAAAAGAAAGGAACTCTCTGCAAAAATACTTATTAGAAGAATTTGAGATGAAGGACCTAGGTTCTTTGAAATATTTTCTCGGAATTGAAGTGTCTCGATCTAATAGAGGTATCTTTCTATAACAAAGAAAGTATGCCTTAGATGTATTGTAGGAAACTGGTATGTCAGCATGTCAACCAGCTGATACACCAATCAAAGAAGGCTTGAAATTAGGATCAAGACTGATCAAGTACCAGTTGACAAAGGGAGATACCAGAGACTGGTGGGAAGATTGATGTATTTGTCTCACACTAGGCCAGATCTTGCTTAAGCATTGAGTATAGTCAGTCAGTTCATGCATAATCTTGGAGAGTAGCATATGAACATATTTATGCATATCCTAAGATATTTAAAACATGCTCCTGGAAGGGGAATCTTATTTTCCAAAAATAAGGACTACCAAAATGTGCATGCATATACTGATGCTGATTAGGCTAGAGCAGTGGATGACAGACTATCTACTTTTGGTTATTGCACTTTTGAGGAGGCAATCTAGTCATGCAGAGAGGCAAGAAATAGAATGTTGTGGCATGCTCAAGCGCTGAAGCGGAATTTAGGGGAATGACACTTAGGATTTGTGAAGCTTTGTGGCTAAGATTTCTACTGCAAGATTTGGGTTATCAACCTAATCAACCAATCCCATTATATTGTGACAATAAAGCAACATGTGACATTGCTCACAATCCAGTTCAACATGATCATACGAAGCACGTTGAAGTAGATAAATTTTTCATCAAAGAAAAACTAGATGAAATATTATTGAATTGCCCAAGATTCGATCAGAGGACCAATTGGCCGATATTCTTACGAAGCCTATCTCCAAACTTATTTTCTCACAACTGCTAGACAAGTTGGCCATGTGTGACATCTACGTACCAACATGAGGGGGAGTGTTAAGATTTCCATAATATTGTGTAAATCTTTTGTAATCATGCAAATATTATGTAATATTTTAGTTATGTCAGGTATACGATCTCAGAATATTCTAAAGATTATGCAGGTTGTGTTTGTTTCCCCGTTTTCAAAATATTATATTCCTATTATGAAAAAAATGCGTGTTTGTTTCAATATTCTCAAAATCATATCCTATAATATTCTACCATTTTAAACCCCCATAGGTTTGTTAATTTAACTAAACACCCCTAACAAAAAAGTTTTATAAATTGATAAAACACCTCAATCCACCCACATTTGTCAGATTTCGGCAACCACCATCGGAAGGTGGCTGGAATCCTACGTAATGGCACACCATCGGATGGATCTGGCTAGTAGTGCGCCAATCTGGTCTTTTTTCGGCCAGATCCACGACCAGATCTTTGGCCACATCTGGCCATCAATGATGGTTCATATATGGCCATCATTGACCATCAATGATGACCATATCTTTGGCCGTTGTTGATGGCCAAGTGTGGCCATCAACGGCCGAATCCAGCCATAGATCTGGCCTTTTCCTACTAGATCCATGGTTGATCTGGCTGGAAAAGGCTATAGCAGCGCATGACTAGCCAGATCTAGTCAGTCATGCACACCAGATTCTAGCTAGATTCTAGCGGTGGTGGTTGGAATCTAGCAACTGTTGGTGGGTAGGGGTGTGTTTGTTGATTTATAAACTTTTTATTATTGGGCGTGTTTAGCTAAATAACAAACCTAGGGGTGTTTTTTTGTTAATTTTCAAATCCTAGCTCGTAATAATAACCCAACTCAACTTAACAGTAATATTTCAAAAATACTACTCAAAATAATAAAACAGACACACCTGTAATCTCCTAATTATGTTAGACAAAATATTGTGTAATCCGCCACTGAAATAATTAGGGGATTTAGGAGATTGTATACTCCCTATATAAAGGGTGTAGCTCATTAGTGATAAATCAATGAATTGAAAATATAATTCTTTAAATTTATAGGTTTCTCCATAAGGAAAGGTTGTTGCAATTCCTTTTCTACTGTCACTTAGATACTAGTTGTTGCCAAGATCAAACATGGAGTCTCCAAACACAAACAAGGCTTTATGTGTTGTAGCTCCACGCTTTGACAGAGCATGGCAACATTATTTGTTTTTTGTCTAACATTAGACATGCAACCCAAAGGTGCAACATTCTGGAACCCAATTTTCCTTACTCCTAGAGCATAAAATTCCTACAAAAATCACAAAAATATATCTAATTATATGTTGACCATAAAAGGTTACTATCCTCTGAATGAGTCAAAGTGTTGCCATTTTTGGAAAAAGGCTTGTTAAGGATTGTACGTTGTCGTTTTGAGAATCAGCTAAACTATTGAAGTAGTTACTGAACTGTACTTTATAATTGTAGTTGCTTTACTCTTTTGTAAGAAATCAAGAAATATAATTTTGCCCTTTCTCTGTTCTTTCTCTATTTCACTTTGATAGCCATCTTTTGTATATGGTATCAGAGCCACTGACTTGCGTCAATGGCAAATCCTTCTAAACCTACTGATGGACACAACAGTTCAAACGAATTATTGAACCAGTCAACAAATCGAATTGCATTAGCTCTAGCCAACAGTTTACAAGTCATCAGTCCCCAACTCACTCAAAGCAGTTACCGCTTTTGGAGTTCTCAGGTATTATCCACCGTTGGTTCACACAAACTTGAGGCCCAATTTTTACTGCAGAAATACGAAATAAGACTTGAAAAATTCAATACAATAGATTTGTACAACTGTTCAGTGCATATAGCCTCTACTGGTACTTTAAATAGCTCACATGGTTCCATTAGCGACATAAATCATGTTTCCAAACCTGAGTTAGAAAGCTCTCAATCTGACAAAGTGTCTGGTTCACTTTATCCTACTCCACCTACTTTAATGTCACTAGGTAATCCTCATTATCCCCAATATCCTATCTTAGCTGCTCCTCAATAGTTTGGTCAGAATTTTGTTCAGAACTTTTGTCAATCTCTATATAATAATAGGCACCTGCCTTTGGAGGAATGTCACATGGCAGGGGTAGAGGTCGAAATACTAGGAGAGGCAAATTGATTTGTCAACTATGTATTATAGCAGGACATTCTGCTGGTCAGTGTTATCACAAGCACAACTCTGCCTATAATGGCATGATTCAACCCTCTACAGCAAACACATCACAACAGCCGAGCTCCTATTATGAAAGTTCACCTCTTCTACAACACAACAATTACTTTTACTATAATGCTCCTCAATATAATAGTATTGGGCAGTATACACCTGGCAATCTTCAATATAGTGGATTTGGAGCACTACCTCATTCTTAGCAGTCCGATATTTCTCATTTTGGAACTTCATCTGACAGGTTTAATTATGGTGTTGTTCTATCTTTTGATAATGCAGCAGCAGTTAATGGCTTTGGTGTCCTTAGCCAACATGTGCCTTTTAAACCCCCGCGTAAGCGTTACGATGCTATAAGGTATGTAATTCTACCCTTAAAAAGATTTTATCAATAAAAGGGTAAAATGGTCATTTTGCATGCATTATGTTAGGAATTGATGACACTAATAAGAAATATGGTTAAAGGGTCATGAAGGAGGTTAGTATGGTTAAACAGCATAAACGGTTCCCAAGAGGTATAATGGTCCTTTCACAATAATTTATAGGAATCAAGTATCCATAAAAGTGTATTATGGGTAAATTGGTTAATTATCTTATGGATTTACTTGGTCACCAAGTAGAAAAGAGAAGTCAAATGGCATTAAAGGAGTGTAATAATTATGTTGTAGTAGAAATGACTAAAATGCCCTTATATGCAAAATTTATACCAAATGAACCATATCTCTAACTTTTATTGGCCAATCCCATTTGGGAATCAAAAAAATGAAATATTTATAAGATATTTCCTTGGTTAAGTCGGCCAACACTCTTAGAACATCAAATTCTCTTCTTCAAGTCACATTCTCCTCCATTAAAGGCTTAAATTCAAGCTTGCTCTCTCAAAATTTTCATAGGATTTCAAAGGAGATCACCATCCACACTTAAAGAACTTCAATTTCAGGGTTTAAAGTGAGTTTCAAAACCCTAGTTGTTCTGATTTTTAGTTAAAAGAGAAATTCATAAGTGGTTATGTGTGTAAGGTAGAAAGGGTGAACCTTTGGAGCTAAGGATGAGTGTCTTTGTGCTTTGAATACTAAGGCAAGGAAAAAAATCTCCCTTATGACTACAATTGTTAACACCTAGGGTTGATGAAACTTATATTTATTTATGTTAATATGAGTGTGATGCTATGTTTTTGTTATGGATTGTTTAAATGGGTGTCTTGATTGGTGTATGTGTGCACATGGAGGATGATTATGCCAATTAAGAGATTTGTAGTTGGACGATGTTTTGGCACTTTTTGGTTCTGTAAAAAGGGAGGTTTTTATGGCCTTTTATACTTAGAATGATATGGCAAATAATATGAATGTGCAAATGAAGGTGACATGGTTAAAAATGAATATAATTCGGATTTGGCTTTTTAAGACTTATACTATACATACTTCACTGAATCGGTCATAACTGAAGTTATAAAAGTCTGATTGAGCTGATTCTTGAAGTATTAAAAATTTGAGAAATAGACCTAAAACTTTTATGTTTTAGCCAAAAATCAATTTGAATTGGAAGATGAGGGAAAAATTGCTTGAAAAGTGATGAACTACATGGCATCCACCTCCTTAATAGAAATTCCCATCTTTTTTTTTATAATTCTAATAATCCCCTGAATAATCTTACTATTGAAATTTCTTGTGTTGTATGATAAATTGAATGAATTAAGGTAAGGAATTTAGTAGGAGAATATTTATGTCATGGAGTTTTACTAAATTGATTGATGAGTTGTGCAATTGGCCAAGGGTACATGTTAAATGAATGAATAGTATGATTGAGCATGGGAGATGTTATCCCATATGTTTGCATTTATAATGGAATGCATATAGCTTATTTAGTTGACTTATGAAAAAATTTATGAAATGTTAAAGAATGAATTCTATAGGTCTCTTGAGGTATAAACCAAGATCAGAGGAATGGAATTCTTGTGGAAACCATGAGTCCTTTGAGGTGACGACTAAGAACAAGGTAATGGTTCAAGTACAAAGACAAAAGAAATAGGCATGCCATGTTTATGAATATTGCATAAGTCATATATGTTCTATGTTATATTATGTATGGTTATGTTATGACTTATGTTTATGAGGAAAGTCCAAAGCGTATGACATGTTTTATAAACTTGATAATGTCAATGAATGAAGGTCATGTCTTGTAGGTAGGTAAAGGTAAGGTCCTGAGTAATATGGTTGTATAATAAACCTTAATAGTTTATGAAAGGTCATATCCCCTTACTGAGTGATTAGCGCTCACCCCACGAAATTTTTTAAAATGTTTTGTAGGTAAGAATTGAGGCTTGAAGCTGGGAAAGGCTACTGGGGAATGACATGTGCATGAAAGAATGCTTTTGCTATGTTTTGAATTTCTTTTGTAAAATAAAATCAAATGGTTTTTGGTTTATGGATGTTGAAGTAAATATGTTTTAATAAAACTAGTATGACCATTTCCTTGTCTAATAAATGAAAAAGGTTAAATGATATTATATACTTATGATAATAACTCTATAGGAAGATAAATTTCTAGAATCATTTTATGGATATGGGATGTTTAATATCATGCTTTAAAAAAAAAAAAAAAAAAAAAAAAAAAAAACCTAAGACAAAAGTATAGGTTTTAAAACAAACTCATTTCCTAGGCATGTCTTTTCTAGGTTCTCAATGGCTAAGGGATACTTAAGAAATACCCGACTAGAGAGGGGTCTTAGATGCCTAGTCAAAGCCAAGCTCACTTTGTAAATGTTAGTCCTCATTTAAACTCAACACCTGATCAGCATTATCACTCTTCAACACCTCCTACACAGTCCTCTCCACAACCATAGCAGTTTGCTCTTGCTCATCACTCACACCTACTGATCCAATATGGTATATGGACTCAGTGCAATTGATCATGTTATCTCAGACCTCAATCATCTAAATTTCAGCAAAAACTACTCTGGAAAGGATTAACTTCAAGTAAGCAGTGGTGAGTATCTCCCTATTTCCCATATTGGTCATTCTGCTATTCCAAGTGCTTTTCATTCTAAGTGTTTACACCTTAAAAACATTATATGTGTGCCTAAGATAACAAAAAACTTACTTAGCATCTCTAAATTCACTAAAGACAACAATGTTATTGTTGAATTTGACTCTAACTGTTTTGTTGTTAAGGACAAGTACACAGGAGCAATTTTACTGCAAGGAAATCTTAAAGGTGGTTTATACTAGCTGAATTCCTCCTCCACTCAGCCTTTACTTGTCCCTCATTTGTTGTTTGCCACTGCACTATCCTCTAATGTAGCTTCTGCCAATGCTTCTGCTCTTGCTTCACAAGATCTCCAATATAAGTCAATACGTTGTAGAAATCCCTTTGTTTCAGTTGAGTTTGGTACTTCTTTCGTTTCAGCTAAACCTGATGTTCAAGGTCACTCTGATGCTTCTTTCATGTCAGTTGAGTCTGATGTTTAGAGTCAATGTGCCCTTAGTAAAAACTGTAGTAATCCTGTTAGTTACATTGAGTCTGAAAACTATAGCATTCTTGTTACTTACATTAAGTTTGATGCTACTAATCAGTATGTGTCCAGCAAAAATAATGATGATGTAGTCCATAATCCTACTACTGATCAATGTAGTTCATCTCCAAATAATAAAACTTATATTTCTGATAATTGTACTGCTCAAACACATAATTCTGGTTCACATTCTGTTCCTGCTAACATCAATGCTTGCATATACTCTGCTGAAAATTGTATTGCTCAAACACATAATTCTGGTTCACATTTTATTCCTGCTAACATCAATGCTTGCATATACATTGCTGAAAATTGCATTGCTCACACATATACCATTGCTCCACATTGTTTGACGGCAAGTGTTATCACTGATGATTACTTACTTTGGCACAAACATTAGGCCATCCTCACTCACAAGTTCAACATCACAATTTAGGGGTGAGCACGGGTAGCAGGGAGAACCGGAACTGGAACCGAAACCTAAACCTACTTGGAACCGGCACTGTGTAGGTAGGTTCTGGTTCCATTTTATTGGAACAGACACTGTGCGGTTCTGGCTCTGGTTCTTATGTGTGGAGGAATCAGAATCGGAATTGGAACTTGTAAAAAAAACCTGAAACGGGTACCCGGTTTGGAACCTACTTGGAACCTGTAGCGGGTACCCGGTTTAGAACCTATTTGGAACCGATTTTTGGAACCTGTTTTGGAAACTATTTTGGAACTGTTTTGGAACCTGGGCTGCAATGAAATATTTGTGAATGATGGGGAGTTTAATTATTTTACATATAAAAAATTTAAAATAGAAAAATTTAAATTTTTAGAATAACCTAATTAAATAACTATACAATTATACTATTACATATAAACTACACCATATTAAAAACTTTAATATATTATAATATATTAATATTAAAGTCTTGATTAATTAAGTGTATAATTAGAATTAGGATCCAATAAAAAGTATTTTAATGTTATTAAAAGAATTATTTTTAAATAAAATAGTATATTTGATTGAATAATAATATATTTAGTTATTTACTTCAATTATCAAGTTCTAAGTATATCTATAGTAAATTAGCAATTAATTAATTATATGTGATAAATTGATAAACAATAATAAATTTAATTACTAGTTAAATATTATGCTTAATCAATTATAACATTACAGCTAAATGATTACTTAATTAATTATAATTTTATAACATTACTCAATTGATTTATAGTATAATTAATTATAGCATTACATTAATTGATTACTACTTAATTAATTGACTTATAACATTTAATATATTACTTAATTAAATAATTAGAAATTTAATTAATTATAGCATTACATTATAGATTTATAGTATAATTACTTAATCAATTATAACATTTCATTATAAACATTAATACAATACTTAATTAAATGATTAAAAATTTAATTAAATATAATATTACATTAAAGATTTACAGTATGATTACTTAATTCACTATAACATTACATTATGTCACATAATTAATTATAACATTACATAATTAAATGATTACTTAATTGATTATGACATTATATTATAAACATTAGTAATTACTAATTTACTACATAAACATTAGCAGAATATTTAATTAAATGATTAGAAATTTAATTAATTATAACATTACATTATAAATAAATGATTACTTAATTAAATGATTAGAAATTTAATTAATTAAGCATTACATTACAGTTAAATAATTACTTAAATAAATTATAATATTATTACATCACATTATATTATAATTACTTAATTAATTATAGCATTACATAGTTTAATGATTACTTAATTAGTTATAAATTTATAACATAACATTATAAATATTAGTAATTTACTACATTATTATATTACTTAATTAAATGATTAAAAATTTAATTAATTATAACATTACATTATAGATTTATAGTATGATTACTTAATCAATTATAACATTCCATTATAAACATTAGTATTTAGTACATTAATTAACTGATTAGAAATTTAATTAATTACAATATTAAATTATAGATTTATGGTATGATTACTTAATTCATTATAACATTACATTATAGTATGATCACATAATTAATTATAACATTACATAATTAAATGGTTACTTAATTGATTATAACATTATATTATAAACATTATTAATTTACTACATAAACATTAGCACAATACTTAATTAAATTAGAAATTAATTAATTATAACATATTAACATTACATTATAAATTTATAGTACTATTACTTAATTAATTGTAATATTACACTATAAACAAATGATTACTTAATTAAATTATTAGGTAATTAAATATAACATTATTATATTACATTATATTATGATCACTTAATTAATAATAGCATTATATAGTTAAATGATTACTTAATTAGTTATAAATTTATAACATTACATTATAAACATTAGCAATTTACTACATTATTACATTACTTAATTAAATGATTAAAAAATTAATTAATTATAACATTACATTATAGATTTATAGTATGATTACTTAATCAATTATAACATTATATTATAAATATTATTACATTAGTTAAATTATTAGAAATTCAATTAATTATAATATTAAATTATAGATTTACAGTATGATTACTTAATTCATTATAATATTACATTATAGTATGATTACATAATTAATTATAATATTACATAATTAAATGATTATTTAATTGATTATGACATCATATTATAAGCATTAGTAATTTACACAATACTTAATTAAATGATTAGAATTTTAATTAATTATAACATTACATTATAAATTTATAGTATGTATAATATTCTATTATAAACATTAGTACAATGCTTAATTAAATTATTAGAAATTTAATTAATTATAATATTACATTATAGTTAAATAGTATACTACTTAATTAATTATAACATTACAATTTACATTGTAGTATGATCACTTAATTAATTATAATATTACATGATTAAATGATTACTTAATTAATTATAACATTATGTTATAAACATTAAACATTAGTAATTAATTAAATGATTAGAAATTGAATTGATTATAACATTACATTATTGGTAAATAATTACTTAATTAATTATAACATTATATTATAGTATGATCACTTAATTATGTATAACATTACACAGTTAAATGATTACTTAATTAATTATAAATTTATAACATTACATTATAAACATTATTAATTTACTACATTAGTCATTAATACATTACTTAACTAAATAGTTATAAAATCTAATTAATTGTAATATTACATTATAAATTTATAGTATAATTACTTACTTAATTATAACATTACATTATAAACATTAGTATAATATTTAATTAAATAATTAGAAATTTAATTAATTATAACATTATATTATAAATGTATAGTATGATTACTTAATTAATTATAACATTACATTATAATTAAATAATTACTTAATTAATTACAACATTACTATATTACATTATAAACATTAATAATTTATAACATTAAGTTTACTATATTAGTATTTAGTAGTGGGAGAATCAAAGAAGTTGGTGACAGTTTCTAACTTTTTATATTTTTGTTTGTTTGAATGATTTTGGTGAAGTTATTTGATGTGAATTGATTGAATTCAAGTGTTACCTAGAGATTAGAGGATTTATGAGTTACATTGGACACAAATGAATGAGTAATCAAAATTTGTTAAGGGTGTATTTGTAAACTTTTAAGATATTTTTATCATTTTTTAAACTAATAGAGGGGTAATTGATTTTTTATAGGGTACCCGAGAAAGGAACCGGAACCTACAGTTTAGGTTCCGGTTCCTTAAATTTAAGAACTTGCACTATGCGGTTCCGGTTTCTTTTTTTGGGAACCTACACTGTGCGGTTCTGGTTCCGGTTCCTCCGAAAAATGTAGGATACCCGGAACCACTCAGCCCTAATCACATTCTAACCAATTTGCACGTCAAGTTTCCTTCAAAACTAAATACTTCAGCTAGTTCTCATATTACTTTCTGTGATGCTTGCCAATTAGGCAAATTACACCACACCACTTTTCCAACTTCACATTCTCATGCCTCAACACCCTTAGAGTTAGTGCACAATGATATTTAGGGTCCTGCCCCTTTTACTTCCATTGAAGGCTTTAAATACTACATTCAATTCCTAGATGACTATAGCAGGTTCACATGGTTGTTTCCTCTCAAAACCAAAGCTAAAGTTAGGTTAGTTTTTATAAAATTTCAGCACTTAGCTGAGAGACAGTTTGGATATAAGCTCAAAAGCTTACAGTCTGATCAAGGAGGAGAATATAAGGCTATCCTACCTTACCTAGTTGACCAAGGCATTCAAATAAGACAATCTTGTGGCTATGTTCACCAACAAAATGGTAGAAGTGAGAGGAAACATAGGCACATTGTAGAATCTGGATTAACGTTGCTTGCTCACGCATCCATGCCCTTTAAATATTGGTGGCTAGCCTTTGAATCTGCTGTATATTTGATAAATAGAATGCTTACTGCCATTCTTTGTAATATGTCACCTTATCAAAAGTTGTTTAACAAGGTTCCTATTTTTGACAGTTCGAAGGTCTTTGGATGCACTTGCTTTCCCTACATGAGGAGCTACAATAAACATAAGTTTGACTTTCAAACCATTAAGTGTGTCTTTGTAGGGTATAATTTGATTCATAAGGGATACAAATGTCTAACTCCTTATGGTAAGATTGTGATTACCCCTAGTGTTCAATTCAATGAATGTGAGTTCCTTTTTGCTGTTAATTCTTTACACATTTCATTTCAGCCTTCTAGTTCTACACCCTCTAGAATACTGATACTTCCATAAATACACACACTTCATCTTTTCCCTTTTGGTCTATCCCTTATCCTTTGCAGTCTTCAGTAGCCACTGATCCTTTTGTAGTAAACATCACTCCTGACAACCATGTTTCAGATGATATAGTAATTGGTAAGAATTCTTCTCCTCTTAACTCTTCTTCCTTTAATCCAAATACATATTCTCCATTACTATCTGCCTCCACTAATTGTAATAGTCCATCCTCACCTAATGTTACATCGTTGCCTACAATTAATACTTCTCTTGATCATTGTTCCTTACCCTGTAACAAACCTGGTTCTTCTGAAAACACTACTGCCACTAACCCAATAATAGAAGCTATTATCCCTACAAGGTCTACAGATTGCTTTCTCCCACCATGTCCGCTTGTGGTTGATCTTACTTCCTCACAGTTTTCTATTGCTTTAGTTAGTCCAAGTCTGGGTACACATAATACAGTCTCCTGTCCTACAACCTCTACAGCTGCCAACATACATCCTATGATTACCAGGTCTAAATCAACTACTCAGACCTGTTGTTCAACTGATTATCAAGATGACTATCATTTAGCCTTTTTTGCTTAAGAATTAAATTATACTAAACTGATTAAAGCTGAACCTATAACAGTATTTGAAGCTCTTAAAAGTACCAAGTGGAAGGCTGCTATGCAGTCTGAATTTTATACACTTGTCCACAACAATACCTGGACTCTTGTTCCGTCTTCCTCTAATATAAATATAGTAGGAAACAAATGGGTTTTTCGCACCAAACTCAATGCTAATGGAACACTACAGAAATATAAGGCCAGGCTAGTTAATAAGGGGTTTCAACAGACCCCTAGTCTTGATTACTTCAAAACCTTCAGCCCAGTAATCAAATCAGCCACTATACGAATTGTTTTGACTCTAGCAGTAACTAATGGATGGGATGTGCAACAAATTGATGTTAATAATGCATGTCTTAATGGAGTGCTAACTGAAACTGTCTACATGAAGTAGCCACTTGGTTTTGAGAATCCTGTCTTTCCTGATGTTGTGTGTAAGTTGAACAAGGCTCTCTATGGCCTTAAACAAGCTCCTAGAGCTTGGTTTGACAAGTTGAAAGCTATCTTACAACTCAAAGGTTTCCAGAATTCAGTCTTAGACTTAATTCTTTTCACTCTTTAGCGAAATTTTGGTTTTATATATGTTCCTGTATATGTTGACAATATATTGATTACTGCTTTAGATGAGGCCTTTATAGCTCAGTTGATGAAGGATCCTAATGACCATTTTGTGCTAAAAACTCTTGGCTTCCTTAAGTATTTTCTAAAGCTGGAAGCAACCAGGAATTCAAATGGTCTTCACCTAAAGTAGTCCAAGTATGCTTCTGGCTTGTTGATAAAAACTAAAATGATGGAAGCATTTGCTTACTCCACTCCTATGGCTGTTGGTGTCAAGCGTAACTCCACAGACAGTGAACCTTTCTAGGATCCTGGATTATATCGCAGTACTGTAGGGGCATTGCAATATTTAACTCTTACTAGACCATATATTAGCTTCATAGTGAATAAGCTAAGCCAATTCTTACAAGCTCCTACTGAGTTGCAATGGCAAGCTTGTAAAAGGGTGTTAAGGTATATCAAAGGTTCTTTGCATTATGGTCTTCATTTCAAACTAGCAAGTGCTCTACATGTAGAGTGCTATGTTGATGCTGATTGGGGTGGTAATTTAGAAGAGCGAAGATCAACCAGTGGTTGTTGTGTATACTTAGGACCAAACTTGATCTATTGGAGTTCCAAGAAACAAAAAGTTGTTGCTCTTTCCTCCACTGAAGCAGAGTATCGAGCTCTTGTTCAAACTGCCACAGAAGTAGCATGGTTACAAAGTATGTTCACTAAGTTGGGCTGTCATTTCATACTGTTCCTGTGATATGGTGTGACAATGTTAGTGCTAGAGCACTTGCATCCAATCCTGTGTTTCATGCTAGAACGAAACGCATTGAGATTGATGCCCATTACATTCGAGAACAAGTTTTGGCAAAGAAATTGGCTATTTAGTAAGTTCCTTCCAAATTACGGATTACAGATCTTCTTACTAAGGCTCTGTCAGCTGCTCATTTTAGTGAGTTAAGATCCAAACTAAATGTGATGTCACTTGATGATAGCTGCAAATGAGTGTTAGTTTGTTGTATGTTAGTATGTTTTAGTAGTCTATACTATAGTTAATTGGTTGTCTACAGACCAGTTTCACTCGGTAGTGTTCTACTCTGCCATCATAGTCTATTGCAATCTTAATCTGATAGGAACTGTCAGCTGCTCTTCATTTTTGGTGAACTACTTCAATTTCTCTCTTATGGTCTGCAAATGGTAGTTTTCTGCTCTGCAATCATAGTCCGTTCTAGCTTATTTAGTAGTTGCAAAATGAACAAGTGATTGATCTGCTATGCAAGTTTGTGCATGCTTTACCAATATTTCCATAGATTGCTTATTAGTCTGCTACAAGTGCTCTCTCAATAATCAGAAAGCTACTGATGATAACAGCTCAAATTGTTGAATCAACATTTTTTTTCAGAATAATTGAATAAGATGGTTGAACTAGTAGTTTCAGAATTATTGAATCAGCTCAAAAGGGGCTACCAGTAGAAGCTCAGATTAGAGGTAGTTTGGTTTAAGGGGGAATATTGACAATAAAAGGTTAGTAGCCTCTAAATGAGTCCAAGTGTTGCCGTTTTTGTAAAAAGGCTTGTTAAGGATTGTACGCTGTCGTTTTGAGAATCAGCTAAGCTACTGAAGTAGCTGCTAAACTGTACTTTATAACTGTAGCTTCTTTACTCTTTAGTAAGAAATCAAGAAATCAAGAAATAGAATTTTGCCCTTTTCTCTGTTCTCTGTTTCACTTCGACAGCCACCTTTTGTATAATATGTACATTAAGTTACAAGTAATATATATATATATATATATATATATATATTATTGAAGGGTTAGGATATATCTTACTTCGAGTGCAGCTGTATAATTACCCATCGCCTGCCCTACAAGTTCAACCTTCTCGGAAAGAGTAGGATCTCAGTTCATGTTAAACCTCATGTAGTCGTTGCCTCCTATGCTGAACAAGAACACCGATCTGTGCAAAAGACTTTTGGCTTCCTCGTGGCCTAATATCTGTTCCAATTGTTTTACGAAGGTCTTGAAATATTGTAATTGTACTCCAAGGTGTAATCAGAAACATGTACAAAACATTATATAATTATATTATATATATATATTATTATATTATTATATATATATATATATATATATGCTGACATGAAGCACACTAAGAAGGAAGAAGAAGAAAGAAGAAGAAGAGATTACAGCCCGCTCACTCTCGCCAAGAGCACCTGCCCCGGCTGAAGCAAAGTTGATTCCATCAATAAATTCACCTCCTTGCTCTAGGTATGGTACTGGTAGTCTCAATTTTGCATTAGTGGCTGCAGCCAGTAACCAAGTTCATATTTTAGAATATTTATTATTTAATGTCTTCCCAAAGTAATTCTGATATAGTAATATTTATTCTGCATCAGCTTCTAACCAGCTAGCTAGCCTTTGTACATGCCAATGAAGTCAGGAGTAGACGGCCATCAGATTCTTCCAGTGGGCTTGTGAAAGAAGGTGATCCCATAGGGCCAAAGAGTCCCCGTAGGAAACCCACCTTCATTTGCGGGAAGATACGATGTGCCTGTGTCAAAGAGTGAATCTCCAAGAGCGAATGATTTTAATATTATAACATTCCGTCGCGCTAGAACGGGTTACATAAAATGTAACAATTAAGTGGAGATCAAACTTGCTTCGACTTGCCATCACTCGATCAATACACAACTCCACAATTACACACTTGTAGTTGTTTCTTTGCTTTGAGCCTTCCCTCTTGCTCATATTTATAGTGGAATTGCTATTAGATTTGAAAAAAAAAAAAAAAAAAAAAAAAAAAAAAAAAAAAAAAAAAAATCTCTGCACCATTATCAAGTGGATTAATTTCTGCATTTGGTTGCTAGGTAGGGCTTTACGGTGCCAGAAAGGATTACACATGTAAATAGTCAAGTAAGACACCATTTTTATTTTTCTCAAGATGTCTCTATTTTATGAATTTGATTTATAAGTTTCATATAAATTGCACAAAGAGTTCTCATTTTCATGTGCTTTTCCGATTATATATATGTTATCCTCTATATATACATACCATTGGTAGATGAACAGCAAAATTAAATTCCTTTAAATAAGTACAACCAAAACGAGATCACATGTATGTACTATGAATAATAAGAATCTTTTTTTCTTTTTTTTTTTTCTCTCTCTCTGAATTGACATTTGCTTGCTGGTTCATCTTTTGCATAAACATCCAAGAATTAGAATTAATATTGTCTCTGGATTATATATATTTTGATTGGTGGTCCTATATACACGTACAAATTTATCAATTCAAATTGAATTTTTGTTAAAACCTAGCAAACTTTTTTTATTTATTTTTTTTTTTTTATAAATGGGGTGTCTAGATCAGCTTACATGTACCTTAACTAATCATGATATTTTATTGAATACCTTATAAGCCAAATAGACCAAATAAGTCACAAATATGGTAGGTGACCACTTTCTATACATACCGTTGGTAGATGAATAACATGTTCGGATATTATGACTTGCTTTCCTAATTGTTCTAAAAATATTTTATGTCTTTAAAAAAATTATTTAATGAAGAATAAAATTATAAATAGGAATAAAATTATGAGGGTCATATTAGAAATTAAAATATGAATCCTATCAGAAATAAAATGTCTCCTATACTACCTATAAATATAGGGGTGTGAATCAATTGAAGGTTAGAGAACTAATTCAAGGTTATGAAAGTATATAAGAGTACAGATATTGGATGCAAGAGTTGTTAAACATGTAAAGTGTCTTAGAAACTAGGATTGTAAGATAATTTCCTCTCTAAGCATTGGGTTGAGCTCTGTTAATTATGTATTGGCTATAGAGGATTTCTCTCATTCGTGGATGTAGACGGATTATGCCAAACCACGTAAATATTGTGTCTCTTTGTGCGATGTAACTTTATTCTTACACTATTAATCTCGAATGTATATTTTCTATTGCGCGATCTCATAGCACAAAAAAATAAATTCATTTAAATAATTACTAAAACGAGATCATATGTATCTACTATATATGAAAATAAGAAAAAATCTCTGAATTCATATTTGCTTGATGGTGGACCACTGGTTCATCTTTTGCATAAGTGTTGTTAATTTTCGCAAGTGTACGAAATCGTGCAAGTAATAAAGTGTATAAATACGAATATCGAATCCAATGGAATTACTATTATCAATTACCAATTAAACTATCCTATTACTATTTGATCAATCCAAATTTTACGAAAGAAGAATTTAAATTAAATAAAATTAACAATTGAAATTAAAAATGTTAGTGTATATTAGTGTATGCCCTAGAAACCATTCGTGTTGTCGGTTTCAGAGCATTTTGTCTTGTATCTATATATATCATAAATAATAGAAGAAAGAGTTCTTCAATTCATATATGTAAATTGCTTCCTTTATTCAGTCATGCATTTAAAATAAAGTATGTATATGAATTGTCCAGATGATTCATTTAATAGGTAAATGAATTATCGAAAAGAGTTCCCTACGGAAGCAATATAAATTTGGGCAACTATATTGNCAGAGCATTTTGTCTTGTATCTATATATATCATAAATAATAGAAGAAAGAGTTCTTCAATTCATATATGTAAATTGCTTCCTTTATTCAGTCATGCATTTAAAATAAAGTATGTATATGAATTGTCCAGATGATTCATTTAATAGGTAAATGAATTATCGAAAAGGGTTCCCTACGGAAGCAATATAAATTTGGGCAACTATTGCATAGTAGGCATACCGGATGCTTCCGAAAGATATCATTAGTTGATATAAGTACGGATGACGATGATAGTCATGTAACTAGGGCATTGGTATGGATTAACAG